AAGAACGTCCTTTAATATTTAATTCTATCGTTGATTATTTGCAAAATCGTACTTGTCTAAATGGGAGGAGGAAGATGCAATTGTTGTTTTTTTATGTATTTATTATTTCTTAATATATTATTGCATCCTGCAATGGTAAAGAGAGAAGTGTTAGTGTATGTTTTGAAAGGAGAAATGGTGGACGGGAGTGTGTGCTCAATGCAAGTTCAGTGTACCGGAATGTTGAGGGAGAAGATCGATACAAAGTGCGTCGACCTCATTGCAGTATACGAAGACACAGACGTTGTTTGTACAGACTTACTGAATTTATTTCGACTTGTGTCAACATAAAAGTTTATTGCATAACACCAGGATATAATCTAGAAATTTATAAAACAAAAATTTAAATGGTTAAAATGCTAAATTTACTTAATATAATACCAATTTTGTTCAATAAAAGCTACAGACTGGTTGATACTCCCGAACGCAATTACGCACCGAATAAATAATTAATACGCAATTAAGAGATGAGATAATTATATAAATATGTTTCAAAATTGTTCTGCATGAATAGAATCGATGTTAATAATTAAAACGATTATGTTTAATCTTTGAAAATTAAAGCAAGGAATTTGTTCAAAATGGGATTAGGAAGAATTTCATTATTTTGGAATTTTTAATGTTTCTACTTCCTTTTTTTATTATTTTTTCTTGTCTTCTCTTAATCAGATATCATTGTTTGTCGATAGAGGGCAGTGGTATGGCAGAGGTGAGTGAACTTTAGGTCCTCGCACTCTTGCACTTGACCAATCAATGTTGCTTCTCCCGCATCCAGGATCCGTGCATCACGTGTTTTCGGAGGCGGATTCTGCCTCGTTTAAATCAATTCTAGCTGCATCCAATTGCGCTTGCGCTTTTGGTAACTCTACTAAATACAGTATTGGTTCGGTTTATAATCTGTAGTATCTTAGAAAAAGAAAATAATAATAATAATAATATTATTAAAACAACATGGCGTAGTTCAAAATAGTAGCTTCTTTGTAGCATCCTCCTACGTCTATCCCATTTCAATTGTGTTAGATGTTGAAGGAGGAGAGATGGGATGAAAGTTACAGGTCCGGATAGTGATGGCGTAGTTCGCTATTCCGCCGACAGATGTCGCTTGGGAGCGATGACCCCGAAAGATGCCTTCCACCCATCCGAACTTGCTGCTCTTTGCTAAGAATCGATGGGACCCGGGACCAGGACCGGTCGATGACATTGTATTGATCCCATTCTCATTCGGGAGCCAACATCTTTCGGGTGTAATGTTCTCTGCCTCTCGCTCTTTCTGTTTTCTTTGCCAAAATCTCGTCGCCCTCCTTCGCTTCTGATCAAGCTCTTCTACTAAAATAACGACAGTAAGAGGCCCTTCTAAAGGTAGAAGGCGTATAAAAGGGTATTAAAAATAAATGAAGATTCTTACGTATAAAAACTTACCTGTTAATTTAAATTTAGAGTAAATCAAGAAGATTTTTTTTCTTATTAAATCAGTTATCTAGAACTCAGATGCTTCTCGAATCTCGAGATCTCCATCTGCTCCTGAAAATCGATTAAAAAGCATTCATCTGCTTTTATCGATCGGCTAAATGTTATTTCCACGCTACTGATTTTGGCACCACATTCAAGCGAAAGGTTCGAAGTCTGCAAATGTAACGTCTCAGAAAATTCGAATTATATCTTCGCTGTACTGTATACAAATTAAATTTATAACTTTATAACGAAATAATTAATCGAATATGTAAAAAATGCATTCCTTCGCACGTTAAACCATTAAATTCCTTCCTTTACTGTGCACAAACAGCATTAAAATCGTATATGCTGCAGCATTTACAATTATCTATCCCCTTCGCTATACATTAAAATAGTAAATTTACCGGTCAAAATTCCAGTATTATCGTTTGAAATACGTCTTCATTCGCTGTATAACCGAGGAAGGAGTAAAATCTAACCATTCTTACTGTATCACATCATGAAAATCGTGTTCTCTTCACAGTATAAATCCGTAAAATCTCATTAATATTGCAGGTAAAGTATTAATAAAATACATACTTTAACAGCATGGAGCGGTAATACAAATTGTTTCTTTTGTCTACCGTAAACAGCATTAAAATCTTACCTTTATTATGCTTTAAAATTATTCTTAAACCGTAGCTTTTTAACGTTATAATTTATTAAAATTGTAGTAGGAGGAGTTAAAATATATATATAAAAAAAAAAAATCCGACAGTATCATTACGTTTTGTTTTTTTTTTTCTAATTAAATTTTAAAGTGGAGGTATTATTAAAATTTAAGACGTTTGAAGATTGTTAAAGGATAACCTTAAAAAAATTAAATTTATAAACGTCAATCGTATCGTACGTGTGGGAAAAACTGAATGCAAAAAATAGCCGTTATCCGTTCACAAGAGATCAACAATGGAGTAAAGAGCAATAGGGTTGAAAGGATTGAATAATGAATGGATAGTATGAATGGAAAGAAAGGAGGAGTGCGCGTTTTTTAAAGTCTAAGGTCTCAACAGAGACTAGACTGTCTAGATATGGTTTACTATAGGTTTACATAATAAAAAAGCAGGAGAAAAAAAGAAAAAAAAGTATATTCTCCTTAGGAAACGATGCTACAGATGTCTGTCTATAAAACTTATTATTTTCTTATTTAATTTAAATTAATTAATACTTAATTATTAATTATTTTAATACTCTTTTTTTACCTTCTCTAGACTTTAACCTCCATCACTAAACTGTTTCTTGGCTTTTGTTTATCTCTCAAATATCCTGAAATCTATATCTTTCTCACTCTTAGATGCTGTTCTTTCTTTGTCTTTCGTCTTTAATCCTGCTGTTTAGTGAATTTATATTTTGAAACTTGCTCTTCTCGTGATAACATTTTTCCTATTTAATCATGAAGGAAATCATTCTTGTTTGGTAAAGACTGATAACGTACTGAATAAATTAGTAAATCACTTATCATATACTCATTTAATATCCAAAATGTCTTCTTCACTTGAGTTATTTTTCTATTAATTTATGTTTCTCATCATCTGGATGATATATTTATCTATTTTCTATATTATGAAAAGAGAGATTCCTTCCATGATTCTGAAGACTTTTATGGAAAATGTCTGTCGTGAAAGACTATTTAAAAGTCTTAAAATTCGTTATAATCGTGAAAGAAATCTCTTAAATTTGGTTTATAATACCAAAACTTAGCAAATATAATATATAGATTTGTGAATTTTATTCATTCCAATACTTATTTTGCTGTATGAATATGATCAGCAGTTCTATAATCTTGCTTCTTTGTGTACTTGAGAGTTGTTTAATGAGCTTAGAATTCTATTTATTATAACTTTGAAACTTAAAATTTGTAAATTTAAAGAAGAAAAACTGATAATCTTTAACTCTTCATCTCCTTTTTTTAATATGGAAGTAATTGAAGAAGAAAAATTGTGTTTAATTGTTTGTATAATGTGACAAGACAGTTCAACTCCTGCTGCTAATTCTTAGATTTTTCATTAATTTTTTTAAAAAATATTAATTATCATTTCTGGTTCATAAATTTCATGATCTTCATTAAAATGAACTTACAAATTTTGTGATGATGTTCCTCCATATAAATTTCCATAAAAATTTTCACAAATATTAATCATTTCTAACTATTTTTAAGCACAATTATTCTATTTTTAAATGGTTATATCCAATGAAGAAATGTAGAATTCTCTTCTATAAAATGATGATGTTATTACATATAAATTGATGATGCTCTATCGAAGGTTTCACAAATATTAATTATCTTCCTTCTGTTTGTTTTGATGCGCAATTAATGTATTGTAAATGGAAAATCCAAGAAAGAAATGCCAAATAATTTATGAGAAATCGCAGGCATTCCTTAATGACATGCTATTTTCTATGGTTTCGTATATCATTCTAATGTCGAAATTTATGATGTCCTTCCTTCTTTCCTAGCAATTATTATTTCTATAAATTCTACTTTGACCTTTTGATTCACAATTCTTCATCAGCATCTTTTTCTCTTTCTCTCCTTCTTCTCATTCTCCTCCTCTTCTTCCTCCTCTTCCTCTTCCTCCTCCTCCTCCTCCTCCTCCTCCTCCTCCCGCCTCCTCCTTCCTCCTCCTCCCGCCTCCTCCTTCTCTTTCTGCTTCTTCTTCTCTACTTTCTCCTTCTTATTTNTATAACCATACTTTCTTTTATCACATGTTAAGAGCTTTTATTATTTAAAATCAAAGTTTTATCAGACTGTGATTTCATCTGCTATTAAAAGATGTAAGTTTAAAGGCAAGCATCTTAGCAAATTATCATTCATATTGCACATTCTATAAAAAAAAAAAAAACTAGAAACATTTTTATTTTAAATTTCTCATTTCTTTCCTAATAAATAAGATCAAATTGTGTTTAATTACTATCATCATCAGTAAGCTTTGTTCATGGGATTAACTGAAGTTGCAAGGATCTTTCTAGAGATGCAACACACCGTTTCTTATCGGGTATTCGAGTATTTACAGTCTACTTCTATGGGTTTTCTTGTTATCAAAACATGCTTATCATGATTAATGCTGATCTTAATGGGAATTTTTTTTTCTTCTTTTAATCTTGAAAATATTTGATTTCATATTTGGCTGTCTTCTAATTTTATAACATTTAAATCTCTTTAAAATTATCTATAACTGTTGCTTCCACCTTTATATATATATCACTGACACGTGCTCTCCATCTTCCATTTTTACATACATCGCTGACACGTGACCAGTTCCTGTCAAGTCTATTCGTCTACAACCATATAAAAGTTTGAACTTAAAGCACAATTATAATGAAAATTCATTCATTTTTACCCACATAAACCATGCAAGCACGTTGCAATTAATGGCAACATTCATAATTTCTAATACAAGTTTTCTTTAAAATAATGAGTCAGAAATCGCGATTTAAATAAGTATAAGTAAAATTGAATTAATTATGCTTACTCGAACAGCATTCTCTTCTTCGTACGTCGTGATTTTCTTACTTAAAAGTGTTCTGAAATGAAAACGCATCAATCTCATGGGGGCTGCCATTTTGTTTACATTTTTCCCTCTAGCGGTTACAAAATCGAGAGTGTTTATATCGTCTGCTTTAAATTATAATTAAATTCCTAATTGCTATCGTCTATATTTGAAATTAAAATAATATTAATTTTAAATAAATTAACACCACTGTAAAAAAAATCTTAAATTTTAAATCGATTCGATATGATATTAAATTAGACTTAGTTTAATATTACATATTTTTTACAATACAATTTAAAATATTGCTCAAATATAATAAACGTTTTTTACATTAAATATTAACTTAAATAATAATTAATTATAATTAGACTTAATAAACGATTTTTAAAATATTTTATTCTTTAGGCATGAATTACCATTAGCCAAATTTTCTTTATTAATTAATCAGAATAGGATATATTTATCATAAATTAATATTATTTATCACCATAAATATTATTAATTTATTAATCTAATTTACAATAAACGTAAAAAAAAAATTTTAATAATTATTTACAGCGTTTATCACGTAGCGCCATCTGTTATTTAAACTTTCAATTTAAAAAAAAAAATAGTTGTAAAAATAAAATTAAACTTCAA